GTTCAGCTCCTGACATGTGCTGGCTGAAAGGTTTGAACGTGAACACATCTGCCTGGGAGCAGATTTTTCAGAAAGGTTATTGTTAACTTAAACTGTCTTTCTGGCAGCGACGCAGGGAGTGAGGCTTATAAATGGACATTTCGTCAGTCCTATGGAAACAGTTGGTGATGGTTAAGTTACGTAAGGTAGCTATGGTTTTATGTTTCTGGTTTGTTTTACGTTTGATTCCTCGAAGTCAGTGCAGATAATTTTTTTAATAAAGAACAAGTATTGTTACAAAGTAGGTGAACTATTCACGTATTTACATCAAAACATGACCTGAGAGAAGTTTCTCCTTAGCATGTAACATTTATTGGATTTTTTTCCTGAAGGCCTCTAAGTAGAAGTCAATTACATGAAACGAAATAGTAGACTCCAGCACACACACAAAAAAAATCGCAGAAGTCTGCTTTTTGCAGTAGCCTTTTGTCTCTCCATGAATGTAATCCTTTCCCAGTGAACTAAATCTTCTTTTTAGAGAACTATGCTTGGAGTGTATTAGGTAGCATAATAAAATAGCACCAAAAAGGGGCTAGTCTCCTCTACGCTACACAAGGTAAGATAGTACTATTTTTTATATAAACTTTTATACTTTTTTTGTAGTGTTCTAGCCAGAAACATTCTTCTCCTTTTGGAAGTTAGTGCCAAATTACGGCTCCCAAGAGTAAAAGTACTGAAGAGGGGTTACTGACCTTCTCTACTCTCCCCACCCTATTCCTGTTCACTTCATTTCAGCTTGGTGTGTAGGAGTGGATTTTAAAGAATAGGAGCTGTACCTAAGTACACATGCAAAATTGTTGTCAGTTTTGCACGTGGAAAATTACAGTCATCTTATAGGCACACCTTCGCAAGTGCTATCTATTTAACTCGTCTATTGCTAATTGCTGGTTTTATTCAAATTTGTACAAATAATAGGTTTCCTCTTGTTAGTACGCTTTCTTATCCTTAAATATCTGATGTTAGCTGCGAGTGGGAAAACAAAGTCAAAATGCAGCCGTTCTACAGGATGTTCCACAGATAGTCAGGTTATTCTTTTGGGAAGGGAAAAGTCTTAAATTTTATTAGCTTTCCGCAGTATCTTTATTTTAATGGTAAACTTTTGCACTAATCATTGCATGTTATGAACATTTCTCAATGCAACATCTTTCGTAGACAAATTACAGGGTAAGTACTGAATATTTTCAAAACTTTCTGAAACTTGTGTACTGCACTGTCCCACTAATTTTTATACAAACATTATGTTTAGCAACTGCTAATACATTTTTTTAGAAGTATTAGTGAAACTATCTCATTAACTTGTGGCAAATTAAGAAATAATGAAACTATGATACATCATTTGTCAAAAATGCCAAAATGTGGAACTCCAGAAAGTGCTCATGAAGTGAAGTCAATGAAATTACCACCTGACAGTTTCTTCCCATTTTTTATCAGACGGGTTGAAATTAAAGAGTGCTGTTGTGAAAACTTTAGGGTTGGAGTGAATATGAATGGGTGGAGCTGGGTGGGGAAATTGCCACTGCAATTACTGCTGTTCCCGTTCCACCTATTCTTTGAATAAAAACAGAGGAGTTCTGTTTCCAAGATAATCCGCTAGAAGCTTGTAAAACATTTAAAGTAATGCTTATTCCTTTTCCTAAATTGACTGCCGAATTTTTTTTTTAGCTTGGCTAGTAAAATGTTTCGGCCGGAGAGTAAGTATTGCTGATCTCGCTTTAGCTGCTGGTTTGGGGTTTCATACCGGGGTATGCTCGCGCCGGCAGAGCGGAGCCTGTCCTTGGGCAGGCTGGGATGTGCCGAGCCGGGCCGGGCCGGCGTCTGCAGCCGGCTGGCTTCCCACTGAACAGCCTGGCCTCATACGGAGCAGCAACGGTAATGGGCTTTGACCTTCTGTATCACAGGTTCAGTGTTTTGGAGGACTGAGGTATGTTTTTCTCATTTTAGCATGTGCAGATCCAGGTTTTTTTAATTTAGTTCAATTATTTGTTCTTGGACTAAGACCAGGTGTGCATGTTTTATGGTGGGGGGGGAGGCAAGTACATAATGGAAATGCTGACACAGTTAATTGGCACAAATCACGCTGATGTGATACTGTTTTTATATACCCTCTCACGTGTTCTT